AGCCCAGAAACTCTGCGTACCAGTTTGCTAATACTGTGATATGGGGGTATGGTGGTGGTGGGGACTCCCTTCCACATCCCAAAGCATAGCAACGAGTCTAGTTCCTGGCATTGTAAGTCATCTAGCTTGTTATGCAAGAGTGGGACCAGAACACATCCTAGACAGTGACTCACATAGAGAATGAAAAAAAAAAAAAAAGAAAAAGAAAAAGTTGGAAATGGCACTACCAGCAAGGAGAGCAAGCAATGCCACAACACACCTATTTGTAAGAAGTTCATCTGGTCTTTCAGGACTCATCTGATGGCTTTTTTACCTTAACATGGTATAAAATAACCCCCCAGCCCCCAGGGGAAACAGAAGAGAAAAAGCTAAGACAGAGTAGCTCCCCTTGCCAAATACACACATACTGTTAAGGCAAGTGAGAGAAAGGGTCATCAGAAGAATGAGCAGTACAGAGCAAGGCTACAGCCCTGCATGGCGTTTTCCTCCATCTCTCCAAACTAGTGGGAAAAGGAATGCATCCCTCCTCAGAGTAAATTTGTCACAGCCACAATTGGACTGGTAAACATTTTAGGACAGATTACAGCAGAAAAAAAAGCAGCACGGGAGCAGAAGAGCGCTGCAGATCTGCATTGCAGACTCTGCAGTTTCACATAGGGACCACACAACTTACTGCTGCCAAACTGCAGACTTCTATGCATCTGACAAAGCTGGAGAGAGGCTTAATGAGAGAAAACTGACTCCCACAGATCTCGGAGTTCACAGACACACAGGCAAGCTGCAAGAGCCATCCAGTTCTTCTAATATCCAGTACAGTTCTGCCTCTGGAACAGGTACTCAGGTGTTTAATAACATCAACATCAAGGCTTTGTCTCACACCCATGGATTAGCATAACAGTCCAGCATCTTTTACAGATCTTTGCTAAAGCTGCATCTCTTAAATAAATCAAGATAACCATCTTTTCATCTCATGAGTTAACAACAAACACTTGGGACTGTATCCATAAAACGACAAGCCAGCACTACAATACTCAAGCTTTTTGGAGGTCCTTTCTTACAAGAAACTTTTAAAGAATCAATAGGTCAGCTACAAGCAAACTGCCATAAAATCTCTTACAAAACTGATGTGCATTTTGTTAAAGAAACAGTGGAACAACAAACCAAATAGCCAATAAGCAAATAACTAATTTACTGTATGACAAAATGTAAGTGGAGAAAAATCCAATAAAACCCCTTACGTTTTATGCCCAAGATGCCACAGGTTCACTATATGCTCCTGGACAAGTCATTTAACACACCTTGTTCTTCTTTAGAATTGCACCTGCCTTGCACAGAAAGCAATTACAGCCCGTGGATCAAAATCAGCTGAACCTTTGATCAAAATACTTCCCATCACTTAAGAACAAAAATAGCCTCCACTTCTTTGCAGAATTATACATGCTGAGTTTTGTGCTCCTGCAGAGTTTTTTGCCTAACAGCTCTTCTATCATCAAATTTTACTATCGTTTATTCTCAAACCTGATAGGTTTCACGTACTGATGATCTATTTCAGTGCTCCCAATGACTTATGCAGACATTTTGATCATTAGCTTCTAGATGCAGAAAAAAGTGAAACAGTTATTTGCCCGAGGCCACGCATGCAAACAGTGACAGAAGGCAGAATTAAAAGTAGAACAATACACCCACGTGTAAACTATGTCAGGAGCAGACAGCTACTGTTAAACTTCTCCAAAGCATCAGAAGTTAGAACCTAACCTGTAGCCTTTCTTTGGACACAGCATGAAAGAAAGATTTAGCTCAAAAGAAAATATACATTAAAAAGGTATATTTCTGAAAATGAATAATACTAGTCACAACTGTACCTTTTCTGGCAATTTTTATATCTGTCAATCTTAAGTCTGTTAAAACACCAGATGGCACAGAAAGATTACATTACAGCCTAGGATTAAGGAGGGGTCAACAAGAGGTCCAATCCCATGACCTCTGCTTGCTGCAGGATTTTTGAATGGAGGGCTGTTTTAACACAGGGTTCCATTCCCACATCCTGCTTCCTCATTTCAGGCTGGAGACAGTTACCCATTAAGGGGTTTGAAGGGAGAGGTACTTATGAGAAGGTAACAGTAACATGAAAAATTAAAGTGGCTTTTAAAGAGAACACTTTTTCCCGCTTCAGTTACAGAATTTTGTTTGCAAGACCACGAAGTCTATTTTGTTAAGTCAAGTTTCCTTTTCACAGAGGTTTAAAGTAAATTATTATTATATTTATTTGTAAGAGGAAACTACTCAAGCTCTAGACATAACACAAGCAACGCAAATTACAATTATCATACAGAAGACAACCTTAGCTCAGCTTTATGATTACAATTAGCACACTTAAAACTAGGAACTAATTCACACAGTCACAGATTCCTAATTCTCAGCTCTTCAGAAATGCTAATAAAATAGATGAACCTTGACCTGGGAAAAGTACACACAAATGTAAGCAGAGGAGGAAAGTAACTACTCACAGACACTAACATGTTTTAAGTTGGACAACATTAGGAAATTGTTCACTCCAAATACTGGGGCTTCGAAAGGAGCACTACAAAGCATGGATTTAACATCTCAGCCCCTTGCATTTATTATTTTGACTCCTAAGCTAGAATCAAAAAAAGTTCTTCCAGCAGCTGCAGCTCCTTCAAAATCCCTTCTTGGGGATTTCTTCCCCTTTTCTTTCTTGTCTACTATGAATATTTCATTTTTTTTTATATAGTCAATTATAAAACACACTCCTCAACTTCCTGCCAGCAGTCAGTAAGGTGGCTACCTACTATGCTCAGAAGGTAAGTCCTTTAGAAAGGAGTTTATTTCTGCAAATATTTCTGAAACTGTGGAATCTAATTTCCACCCCAGCTTGCTCCAGTCATCCATTGCCTGGATGAGATTAACAGGTGTAGGTAGGTTCAAAACAGTCAGTAGGAGAACCAGTTTCTTCATACTATGTGTAAACTACCTACAGAATTAATTGTCAGTGAAAGCCAGAAGCTTGAAGTTGAAGAAAATACACAAATTGATGGAATAATATCCCCTTAAAAAACAGCAAAACAAAAAGGCTACGTCCGACTTAAAAGGTCTGTGACCTACAGACTGCTGGTGTTGCTAGACTATACAGGGGAAGTACCACCACATGGCCTTACGCTGTTCCCTTCAAATCACCACTGTCTTGATACACAACACTAGTTGGAGAGGAGAGGAAAGACATCCTCTGGCACCCAGGATAGTCAAGCTCTTTCCGCGCCTCCCCCGCCCCTCCCCCCACCTGTTTACCAGCTCTCTGTACTCTTTTGAGGAATAAGGGATGGTTTCTTGACCCCTCAGTTTGAGCAAGAGCTTTGGTCAAAAGGGACCACTACATGGCAACACCATAGAGGCACATTCCCAAAAAGACAGAAACAGAGGTCATACCAGGGCTTTTGTGTTACCATTTAGACCATCATATGCAACTAGTTTAATATCTCCCAATATTTGTTCCAGCCTTCTAAGCCCCACAATAAAGTCATATATGAAGTTGTTGCTTTCCAGAGCATGTTCCATAATGCTTTCTGAGCTCAGTGCTTTCTCCATCTGAGTTAGTCCCAGTCTCCTTTATCTGTTTAATACAGAACTTACTCACTCATTCTCTTACAAGTAAAGTTATTGCACTTGTAATTAATCCTACTGTTGCAGTGCAGCATTCCTCTTCAGAGAAAACCCAGTGCCAATAGATACTAGACATTTAGTATCGAGATCTATTAAAAGAGTGTGAGAGGTGTGCTACAAGGTTTATCAATTCTAAACTCAAAACTGCAAAAAGAAGCCCACATTTACTTACATTTTAGAATTGCTTTTTCAGGTTTATATAATGAAAACTCATGGTGAAAGGAATCTTGAGGAAGTTTTGGAGTTTTTTTTGTCCTACAGTGTCAAAAACCAACAACACACCTTCTAAATGCAGAGCACGATACACTGTGAAGCAAGCCAGAAATGTATCCCAGACTGTTTAGTTAGAGAAGTACACTTGTGGAAAATCTAGTTTTCTATTCGTGATTTATTCACCTGAATTGAGAATTCATTCAAAAGAACTACCAGATAATGATCAAGATAAGGGTCTTGACTAATAACATACTATACAGCTGCTGCAACAACTTGAGAGAACTCAATCTTCCCTGCTTCCTCAACTCTCTCAAAATGAATATGTCACAATTTAAAACCTTAGAAATAAAGCTTATGCAAATCCACAAGTTTGCAAAAAAATCAAAAAGCCAGGAAATCCAAAGAGTAGATATTGCTAAAGCAACTTTTCTTTTCTGGACACATCATATGCAATAAATACATTTTGCATGTCATTTTGCCTTTATTTCATTGTATAATAATGCTTTGTTTGCCATAACGAACAAAACAGAAGAAGATAATTCTTTGGGAAGGTCTGACCTCTCCACTTCCTCCCTCAAACAAGTGCACCTAAAACTGAGGCTATGAAACAGAAAGTCATCACCTCTTGTACCTAGCTTATACAAAAATTCCTTCAATATATGCCATACGAGTCCTCAACATCATCCAGATGAGTACAACTGCATTCTATTTCGCTTAGCTATTGAAAAAAAAAACCCTGTAATGCATTTATTGGCTAGATTTTGTTTTTAAACAAAATTATTAACAGACCTATTCTAGTGACTGAAATAGCAAGTGCACAGTATTGGCAAAGGTGAAAGATAGGTGACTGCCAAAAGGCCAACAAAAATCTACACACAGAGTTGTTCTGCAATATCAGCCATTACACATAAGGTGTAAGACTTTTACCCTTCTCACTACCGCCCCTGCCATGGGCATAAGATTTTGAGTAATACTACCCATGAACAGCCACCTTGTAGACACACATTTTTTGAAATGTGTTATAAATACTAAATGCATTTAGATTTTAACACGCTTTCATTACTTTTTCAGGAACATGTTCTGATCTGTAGGTGAAACTTGCAAGAACAGCTGAGAGATTCTCAAGTGTCAGTTCTGCCAGAAGTAGTTTCATACATGAGCTAATCAACAGCATTACGAAAATTAACAAGCACCTGCACTTTGATTTTAATTTGAATGCTTTCCAAAAAACACACATTTGAAATCTAAGCTTCTACAATGAAATGTACTGATAATACATTTGCCAGAAGCCAGCAAGACCTCACGAAGGCAAACATGGGTAAAGGAGACAAAAGTTACCTCACCAGTATGAGCGAAGTGCAACCACAGTATAATCTGACAAATCTTACTTGCTTTGATCCAGCTGTAATGCTACACCTTTACTGTGGTTACCCTGGTATCATAAACTTCAGCAAGATCTAGGAACCAAAGTATGTAGACAATGTTTATCCTGGATTGTACAACTATGGATGAAGCCAAGGATGGTATCTTTAAGACTACTCTTGTAGCAGTCAGATGAAAGCTAATGCAAATATACTGATGCACTTTGATTAAACCTGCTATGTGCAATGTAGTCAAACCTGAAGTGCTCCGTGGGAATATAACGGGATACAGTCACGGCTGACAGCAGAACTTTGGAAACACTATTTTCAGACAAGACTTAAACCATGTAGTGCTATATATAATGCACATTCATATAGAAATACAAAAAAGAAATACTCACCCTAACTTCATAAACATTATCTGAATAATCCACAGTCTGGCAGACATAGCTGTACCCTCGAGCTCTTGATGACAAAAACAGCTGAAAATATTAAAGTTATACATGAGGGGAAAGATGCTACATAAAACACATTCATAACAGTTATCAGGAAATTTCTTGCTACATCAAACTTACCTGAGCAGAAATACTTAAAATATCCTCATCAGTCCTGAGAATACTATTGAAGAAAGCCAACACTTAGTTCTAACAACGTATTGTTACGCAGTACCTACTTTTTTCTTGTAAATTAAAAAGAAAGTACTCATTTTCCCCTGCATGTATCTGCCCAGATAATTAGAGCCCTGTACAAATTATAAGGATTCCAGTATGACCTTAAGCTATTCAAACATGAGTACTCCCTCTGACAGCTCTAGCTTCAGACACAGAAAATAACCAATTGCTTTCACTATGAATGACAGAAATGCTATTCCTACAATGGATTAGATAATTTGGATCTACTACTCTTAAAACGGTATTTCAATCAAAATCCAGAAAAAAAAAACCCTGAACAGCCAATGCTGAGCACCCATAAAACCTATTGAGAGAAAGCAGATGAAGAAAAGTTCCCCATTTCGTGCCAACAGAAATGGCCTAAAGCACATTAAGGCTCCTGTAGGGCCACTCCAAATAAAGCACATTGAAATAACCTGAACAGAAGATAAACATGACATTTGAGCAAGCTCCCACTGGAAAGAAGAACACTTGCCTAGAGGTCTACAAGGCCCAAGTAATATTTCTAATCTTGACATTCATAAACATTATGATACAAGATTGTTTAAAGCCAGTTAATCCCACTCTGTTAAGGATCAAAAAAAGATAGCAGTGGAGCAGACATAAGCTGTAAACTGTGAGCTGTAAAAGTAAAGAAGGGTGATATAAAAAGATCTCCAAAATAAACATAGGTAGGCAATGACTATTCTTACTGTTAACCTGACTTCCATCTTAGTTAGACTGAACTTGAGTTTACTTCGCTATCTCACCTTGCACACAGCACTAGGAGTGCAGTCAGATGCAGAGACAAGTGTTAACCTGATAAAACCAACATACAAAATCTTGTGAAACTCTGGGCTTATTTGCTGCACATATCTGCTAAAGTAGGAAAGTGAAAGAACTGTCCACAGAAGTGGTCCTAAGAAAGAAATTGAACTACTTCTGCATCATCCAAGTCCATTTACAAGCTCCTGTAACACTCTCCAATGTGGTCCTACACAGGCACAACACATTTGATAATATCGGAGAAGAGCAGGGTACAGTTTAGTCCACACTGTTACAGAAACTAACCAATCTCTGCTGTGATCTACTGGGTAATTTGACCAAGGTTCACTTGGTAAAAGGCAGTAAATGGACTTTACAAGACTGCCTCAAAGTAGAGTAAGAAATTCAAGATTTTGTGGCAAAATAAGGGCTATGAATTTGGGACTTCCGTGTGTTATAAGCAAAATTTTCTCCCAATTTGAATCTGGAGTCCAACATATGGGAAGCTTGGACTGTACAACCTAGCAATGCTTTATGGACTTACCATTTTAATGTAAGTTACTACAGATGAACAATACAGCTTGCCATCAGGATGATTAATTAAATAACATTTAAAGGCATTTCACATTCAAATTCTGTTCTCAGCAATACCTGGAAACTTTACGGTCATTCATAAAATACAAACTGTATCATTTTATTCATAATAATTACATTACTCATGCAAATTACAACAGTGGCACATTGGTATTGTAAATCTCATGTAGACTGAAGCAGAAGTTGCTTGGTTAAAGGGAACAATTGAAACTTGACCACCTTCCTCCTATAAGTCTCTAAGATCAAAAAAAGACACCTCTTGTAAATGTTGTATCCATAGCTTTAACATCCATTGTAATAACCACCTACCGTTTGAAACAGCAGGAAACTAGATCCTCTGTCTGTGTCTAAATTTATTATGAGCTTTCAGCCTATCAGCAGCAAACTCACATTTGCTGTCCCATTCATTTTTGTTAATGGAAATGCCACACAAACACGTGTGTTATCCTGTAAGCAACATAGGTTTGAAAATTAATTGACCACATGTGTGGTATAATTCAGCTTATGGATAAAACAAATCAATATAAAAGAAAAAGTGAAAAAGACAAACATGGCAAAACCACTGCAGAACTCATTTCAGAGGAGTTCCAGTTTTAACCTGCCAAGGTGACTGGATTTCATCCATTCCCACAACTATCCTTGGGTTTCAGCATTAAATTCTGTTGTACCTGTAGTATTTTATTACTTAGTTGAATAGTACATGGAAACAATTTAGACAAAATGACAACTGAGGTGTGATGGCTAAAACTTTGTTGAACCACATCTTAAAAAAAGGCTGAAATCAGCTAATGATTTTATTATAGAAGCTCTGGGGAAGGGTCAATATGCTGATCATCATCAGATATGCCACGCTTTCCTGGCAAAAGTACAGAACAGACCAGACAGAAAAAGAGGCTGCTGTAAAAGCATCTGCAATGCTGTAATTTTAACTGCTCTGTTCATTTGCTTACTTCTGGAAACGGATTTTGCGAATTTATGATCCGAGGTCTTCCAGGAAGACTCTCAACCCACAAGAGCAAAGTCACAGCAGCATGAACTATTCCTTAGCATGAGCTATGTTCTGCACAGCTATCCTTGAATAATGATTACAAAACTGTTCAGTAATCCCACTTAGCTACTGCTAAAGAGCTGATCCACTGCATTGTTACTAGTCATTTCCTCTGTACAGAAGACCTAACAAAGGACAAATGCAGCAAGACTGAAATTTATTAAAATTAACACACTCAGAATGTTGCAAACCAAATATTAGAATACTGTATCTATTTTTGTTTAAAAATACAGCTCACTTCATTTTTATCCTTATTCTACAAGACAACTTACAGACAAGATACTTTTCCTCACTGCAGACAATGGACATCTGAATTTCTAAAAATGATAAACACACTGAAGGCACCAAAGAGCTCAATTTCTAACAAGATACATTCTGACACTCTTTAGGATTATTAAAAAGAAAAAAAAAAAATCAGTTACAAGTGTTAAATCTCTATGGATTTTAGTTAATCTGTCCAGTATTTACACTAACATAAATCAAAAACGAACTCGGAATAGCTAGTACACAAATGCTCCTATAGACTCATTTAGTGCATTTATTCTCAAACAGAATGTATCTAGCTACAGAAATACTCACATCAAAGGCAAACTCGGCTTTAAAAGTCCGTGCAAAACATTCACCCTCAATAGACACCATGAATATGTAAGATTATTTTCATTTTGTGATCTGTAGACCCCTCAGACTTCAATAGGAATTCCCTCCTGTGACAGGGCATACACACCTCTTTGAAAATGAAGAAGTTGAGTAGAACCATTCCAAAGTTGTAAACAACCAACAGGAAACGTAACTGGAAGGGCTCTCTTGTCTTCATCCATTTGGGGCCCAGCCAGACAGTGAGGAGATAAATAGTGCTTATAGTCAGTGTTGGAAATGGAGACTGCATCAAGGGCCAATCATCGACACGTTTGTCTGGGAGGGGTGAAGCAAACAGAAGGAGTCAACAAGGTCTGAACAAAATATATTTCATCATCATTTTAAGCGGTGCATTTGTTAAGTATTATTCTCTCCTGGAATAGCTGCATCAGATAGTACAAACACAATACATTCATTCTTTCTAGAAAGGTTAAAGAAAATAGTTTTAAAAAAAAAAAACCACTATATCACATTACCTCACAGAGATTCTTTATGTCATGCAAGTTCTATTGTCCAGTTCTACAATCCAAAACAATACAGCAAACAGAATCATGTGAGCCCAAAACCAACGCACTAATTCCCCAAAAACCAATTTTGCTTGTGATGAACAGGGACTGTAGCAGCAATGTAACCAAATATTCAGCACCACTGCAAATGAAAGATACACAAATTTGGCAAAATCCTGATAAAATTAATAGTTTTTATTAGCTTAAGATCAGGCACTAGAAAGCCTCCTGTTACTTTTATACAGGTTATATGATGCTAACCAAGCACCTTTGCTACTTGATGTAGGTCAGTCTCACACGTTTCAGACAGAATACTAACAACGTTACCGAAAAACAACTAAGAAAGAGTTTCAAGGGATGGTGCTAGTTTTCTAGTTAAGAGTAATCTCTGCTGCCATACAGGAGACAAAGGTTTTATTTACAGTCTCTGCCAGTCACTCATAGGATCCACAGTTACACACACTCCAGGACCCAGAATACGCTATATTAAGTTCTGGATCTGTATCAAAAAAGCACTCTTAGCCTGATGAACCAGTGACACCTAGGATTAGAAGATGACCCTGCTACACAGGAGGGAAGAGAGAGAATACAGTGACACCTCCTTACTCAGTGTCGTTTCCCGCTCCCCCTCCCCCCATTATGAAGGCTAATCTCTAGTTATAGCAAGAGATAAAAGGAACTATTCCATAACCATCAATATTTCAGATACTACACATCTCTATGATACTAACTGGATTATTTTCCAGAGGATAAGGGCAGGTGGAGTTCAGATGGAACTGAACGCACCACAGGGCTCCTTGGGAAGCTCAGACTTCTAAACTACCTGCCTTCAGTCACTTTGACAAACTCACAGAGCAATGCAGTTGTTACCTAGAGGACCTAAAGTTTCTTTTGGAAAACTGTTTTCATGGTAACAGTGGGAAAAAATCCTATACCATAAATTAATTCTTGATTCCAGGCATACTAACAGGTAAGTTAGAAAAGCCTTCTTATCTACAAAATGAGGAACTCTGATGTAATGAGGAAAGTAGAGAACCACACTGCCATTACTCCTCCTCCACTTCTTTCTTGTTTCCTTAGTTGCCCTTAAGATCATAAATTAGAACCTCATTTTAGGACCAGACTTCATGAGATCCTCTATTTCTAATAACACATATTGTGCTCTACAGAAAGACAGCGTGCGTGGCACTGGCTCTTCTTGCTTCCAGATGATTTAACCATACTCGATCTGCACATTGCAAGTAAGATGCTAGGGGGCCTAAAAAGAAGTGGAAAAGAAGAAAGATAAACCAGCCTCGTGTTTCTATCATGGCTGTTAATACCAGAAGAGAGAAATCATCCTAATGCATGGAAACCTCCAGCAAGGCTGACGCTGCCAGAATGACAGGAGTCAGCTTTGAGACTGCAGCGCCAAAGGCAAGATGGGGCAAGGAGTATAGGGAGGAGTGGCAAAAAAATCAGATAGATTAGCTGTAGAAAGACAGGCAGTGAAACAACTGAAGAAAGCAAAAGAAGACAGCTACCTCTTACTTTTCAGCAAGCCCTTGGACCAGACACTTCTATTACCATATAACGAACTCTCTATGAAACACGAGAACGACTGCTTTACAGTACAGTACAGTGTCTTGGGATGTAAAGCAACAAGCCCATTTTCCAGACCTCACAGCATGCTACCTGTTGAAGCTGAAATCACACCACTGTGTTGCAATTATTACACTGCTATCTCCCTTACACTTTAGTTCCTGCTTGCTTTTAGCAATTACTGTACCAATCTGAATTTAAAAATAAAAGATAACACCACTTGAAAGACAAGAGAAATGAAGAATGTCATCATCCACCTGATACGAAGCAAGACTCACCTCCACCAAGGAAGAAGAAAGGTGTCACCTCTTAATTAAAAGACAGCTCTGGGAATAGCCAATGTGTGACACGCTTTAATCAAACCTGCATCTCCCTTCAGACACTGTAGTGTGCAAAGAGTTAAGAGCAGGTGAGGCAAGAGACCTGGTTGCTTTCCTAGCCTTCTTGCACTATGCAATATAAAGAGGTAAGGACATCTTAGAGAATCTGTCTTCTATTTCTAACTGTGTTTCATGGCACTCTGAATGCTAAAGTGACAATACGAAAAACGTGAAGAAAGATTTGAATGTTACAACTCACTGCTGAAAATAGGAAACCATGACTGATTCCAGATTTCTTTTTGTGGTAGAAGACAAAAATTTCTAGAGGGAAGAATGAGGATTCACTAGAGGGTGAAAGGAAAGACAAAGTGACAACTTTTACGAAAGCCCAGCTGCAAGCGGGCTTTGCCTCATGCTTCACCAGCACTGTAAGCAATTCTTTCACCTACTTTCCCCAAATACTACAATTTGAAGAACTTAACTAGAGAAAACCAAGAGATATATTTAATTAACTCTGACAACAACATAAGGGCACCTGGGCAGCTGCCATTACACTTCCATATCTGCATCAGGGTTTCAGCTTGTAACTTATCTTCTGCACAGGGTTTTTGGACAGTGAGCCACCACATCTCAGAGACAAGTCTTCAAGTATTTGCAAGAAAAGCAATTAGCTTACAGATACAGACCACATAAGACACTGCCCAGGGAATCTATCTGATTGGGGTTTGGAGGGTCTGACCTCTCCTAGGACAATTAATTACACCTTGAATGCAAAATGCCTGTGTGAGAGGGAATACAGTAGGCAGTTCAGTTCTGGAGTAGATCCTGGCCAAAACCAAAGCGTATCTAATTCCTTCTGTGCTACCCAAGAACAACACCTTGCACTTAATTTTAGGGCATTGAGGAGCCTCTGCACATGATTATTTTTAACTAATACTGTGGCATTGGAAAACCTGCTACTATTCATCCCAGAACTTCCTAGATTTAGAAACTTGCTCATCACAAGATCTCAAATGGATAATGCAAAGTAACTTGTTCAGTTTTAAATCAAGTCCATGCTCCATTCTTGTTGCACAGAAGGTATTACAAAACCAATTTCATTTCAGTTTACCAGGCAAGCCTGCTTGTCTGTGTTTTATACAGAAAACACACAGTTAGATGTAGACCCTTGTTTCAGGGTTCTTTTCAGATACACTGCTTCAAACCTAGATAAATTCATTCTCTGAAGTTGCTTAAGTGGCAAACCTCCCAAGCAACTCAAACACCCTCCCACCCCATTTTAGCAAAACCAGCATAATTTTGTGTCCTACTTACTAGCTGGTGCTGATGACCACAAATGATTTCTGCAAATTACAGAGAACTGTGATAGCTTAAGGGGACATATGAGGGTATTAAATCCTGCGGTACTTCACACGCAATAGGTACGTTACCACCTGAAAGATGAAATAAGCTTGAAATAAAAATGACAGCTCCCTGAATTAAAAAAATCCCTCCAACTGCTTTGAATCAAAATGACCAATGCCTTTACCTGATTAGAATTGACAGAGACTGACTGAATCTTTCAGGGGATTAATGCGTTTGTCTTTCAAATCCTAAGACCCAGATTCTAATTCGATCACAAATGAAATGTCTGTTGTGATGGCAGAGCCTGTAGTACGGCACTTTTTTTGCAAGGTGCGAGAAGTTTTAGAACAAACATTTGAAGTTGCACTCAATCGTAAAGGTGAATCTAGAATAGAATAAGGCAGCTGCTAACACATTCCTGATAGAAAATTACGTAAGGAAGTAACATGAAATATCTATATACACAAGGCTTTCCTGTCATTTTGTGCATACACATTTTAAAGTTTCACATTGCAAAGACAAGACAAGGAATAGAAGAACATACATATATATGTGTGTGTATATATATATAATTGAAATTGCCTTAAGGCACATCCCCTTGCAGGATTTAATTCTTTACATGGGGCAATTAACAGGAAACACACACATAAAACGTCTGATTTCTTCCTCCAAAGCAAGAACAACAGCAGAACCAGTGAAAAGGACTGAATATCCTACCTGGTAATGTCCAAAGAGGACATGATGAACTTATATTGAAATATGGATGGCAAACGAAGATGAATTTCAATAAGCAAGGCTGCACTTACGGTGATCTAGAGTTAAAAATCAGTGAAACAGACTGTAAGTGTTTTAATATGCAAATGCTAACGTCAAACGTGGTTCAGCATTTCTTTTCCAATAGGAGGAATTTCAGATGGTTAAATTTCTTGCATATTACTGAGCCTATGATAATTTTTTTTCTTTCCTCAAGAAGTATAAACTTCAAAAATAAGCTAACAAATGCAAGGCACAGACAGTCCAATTTTCATCAGGAGAAATCCTTAAACAGTACAAGGGTGACTAACTCTGCTTTCAATACAAGTTTTAGAGAAAATACTACGTAACTAAAATACATGACTTTTGAAATTCCCTATATTCATATTAGCTTCAAAAATCAATACTTAGTCTTTATTTTTGCTTTAACAACGTATGTATTTCTTAGCTGTAAGGTCGCTACTCACTAATTTATCTGGAGAGCCTTTCAAAGTTATTAATAGCTATTGATACTATTCTCAGCGCAAAGACACTTACAGTGCCAATCCAGCACATCCATCTGTCCAATTACATTTCTAAAGACACTGCAGAAACGATGGTGACTGTTTAAAAGTGGCTCTTAACAGCGACAGCTCTCTGCAGATCACGCCGTTTATTTTAACAAGAAGTCTTCTCAAAGCCCTGTCTCAAGTTTCAGAAAGGTTTCCTTAAACGAGTGAAATTTTAATTCCACAATATAAGGAAGGCAAGGCAGTATTATCTAATTGAAGTATTGT